CGGAGGGCTTCGGCCTCAGCGACTTATGCCAAGAGCGCTGTGCCTAGTAACACATCCGTGCCCTAACTTACTAACTGGCAACCAGAACTGAAGGGGGGTAACTCTAGTCGATTTTATTACTGAAGTGTAACCTATGTACAAGCTGGATATATATATGGTTACAGCGAAGATGGGTCCGCAAATGGCGGAGCTGAACGGAGTGGAGCTAATGGGGTTAAACATTAGCTGACTGAATATTACCAACGAGTCGGGTCGCGGGGTTAACAGAAAGGCAGGCGATAACCCAGAAACGGAAAGGAGGGATGGGCCCGAAGGTGGGCTCTGCAGGGCAGGCGAGTGTATTGCCCAGCGGAGGCGGGAGTGCGCTAGCGGACGTCAGAGCTGTCCGGAAGTCTTCGGGGCTCCGTACTTAGGGAGGTGTAGGTAATAAATTGAAAGGAGGGGGTGGTGACCATCGAGGGGTACTGAGAGGATTGCAGAATATGGGAGCTCCGAGGTTAGTAAGGAAGGAGCGGAGGTAGGCCGGAGGGATCGGAGGGACCGGAAGTCGATGGCCAGGAATGGATATGACAGGTCCTGCCATTCATGGGACCACCTCACTGTAACTATATATACTTAACTTGTAGATAGGTTACACTCCAGTGATAAAATCGACTAGAGTTGATCCCCCTTTTTAGTTCTCATTGCCAGTAAGTAAATTAGGGCACAGATGTGTAACTTGGCACAGCGCTCCTGGTCTGAGTCACTGAGGCCGAAGCCCTCCACCACAGTGAAGGAGAGAACGAAGGAAGATCAGTTGGGAGGTTCAAACGAGACCACCACCAAGCTGTTCCCTGGTTCTTTAGTTAGGATGGGGAAGTGTACAAGTAATATTTGTTGTAATTATAGTACCAATCCGAGTGTTTTGGCTAATTCTATTTTTATGGGTTAGTCTAAAGTTTCTGGGAATTGACTTACAGATAAACCGAGCCCTGCAGAGCTGTTCCTTTATTGAAATTTCTTAATTTGTCTAGGTGTAATTGTGTAGCATTGTTTAATTTGGAATTTTAACTTGAATTAAATCTTCTACTTGGTGAAGTTTCAAAGATTCTACTCAGTTTATGGATTTGGATTGTATCTGGAGTGTCCCTTGAGTTTGTTTTATTTTTGTCTTATTTTATTGCTTGTTTTATTATTGTTTAATGTTTTCATTTCACGGGACTAATCACGGGGCTACGATCAGACCCAACCCAGCTCATGCTGAGGTTTCCTCTGCTCGATCATATCCTGCCGCTCCTGTCCTAGCACTGCCCACTCCCCTTTGCTGCTCCTACCAATCACAAGTTGAAATGCAACCTGACTTCTCAATGAGTCTAGGTTTTTGCCTCAGCCATACGCTGGGTGTTCTGGCATGGATGCGCGGAACAGACCACACCAGCGGAGGTATGTACTGAAACTCCCTCACCGCAAGAGTGCTCACAGTTAGTCCAGCCCACACTTATAAAGAGCGCCTGCACCTTTACTTTTCCCCCTCTCTATCACCTGGATTCGTGCTGCTCTCGGTGAGTAGGGCTGCTTACTGCTTTGTATCCAAACTCTTACTCATGCATTATCGCTGCTGCCTCTGCTGCTGCCGCTCTCTTGACTCCCGGAATCGTCCATGCCTGCTCAGTAACTTGGCTTGCTTGTTTTTGCACTTCTAACTGATTCTTCGAATATCTTATGGTCACACATGTCTGAACATGCCCAAGCACAAGCAACAAGTGGTTCGACGGATCCCAAAGTCTTCACGTTCGGTGGCATCGACTTGGAGCATATTGCAACTGCGCCGTTTGATGATGCACTCCTCGACCAGCTCGACAGCCTCGAATCGGAATACTCAAGTCATTCAATCAGTCTGCATGGAGCCTATCGACGACTGTGGGAACTCCTCAACGGTGCTGCCGACCTCAGCCATGATCAACAAAGTCAACTCGCAGATCGATATGTCACCCGATTCGATCAATCCACACAGGCTAGAGAAGAGGCAATCGTTTGTGGAAGTCAGCACCGAACGGACCCCAAGCACTTTGTCCAATCACGAAGCATCAACCATTCTAACGACTGTACCGCTGCCATCCCTGGTCAAGCTGAACGTACCCTCCCAGCCATTGGAGCCTGCCAACAGTGAGATGATAATGGAGAGGATGAGCATGGGGGGTCAGCCAAGCGCCTGCAGGAGGTTGACGACAACCATGATGCTCGATATGCATGGAACTGGGACTACCCAGGAGGTAACCACCCCTGGGATGTCACTGACTTACTTAGCAGCCAACAGAAAACTTGATGCCTGCGAAACATCTACAACCTTGATCCCAAAGCCACAGTCCGAAGCCTTGCTGCTCGCGGACGCCCACCAGCTTTCCCTCACACGCTCTGGCGTGACCTCATCTGTGACAAGCACATCGACCTTGCTGCCATTGTCGAGGACCACAACGCTGTTGCACCCTCATACAAAGACTCTATTGACCTTGGTGGTGGAGCCAAACTCACGCTTAGTAAGTTCAACTCCAAGGGGAAGGCCAAGATTAGGTCACAAGGGGAATGGATACTGGGCTTCACCAAATATAAGCGTGCGCTTCTCTACGCTTACCCACACCGACAAGAAGAACTTAGCACCTACTATGAGCATATCCTTGACAAGTTCAGCACCTGCACTAACGAACTCTCTGTCATTAGTTACGACTCAGCCATCCGTAAATTTGTCCAAGAGCATTACCATCTCTCCTTCACTGACTTCCATCTTTTCAGTGACATCGCCTTCAGACACCTCAGACACCTCAGTGATGTGCCAGGCTCCCTTGGGAACCAATCCCGAGGAAAGGGTAAGCAGGGGAAAAGGACGGGAACCCCCCCATCTGTGGCGAGTTCAACACGAAGAAGGGTTGCTCATATGACCCATGCAAATTCAAACACATCTGTTGGGATTGCCACAGAGACCACCCCCGTTATAAATGCACAAAGGAACTTGGCCAAAAGATGTCTGCCTGAGGAACCTGGGCTCAGCTTCGCATGCGCTGGGCAACAACCCCGGCACATGCATTTCATCTTTGGCCGCAATGATCATGGACGTACCCCATCTGCTACGTACACAGAAAGTGCACAACCAATTCCATCGGTTCCTCCTGGTGACTATAAATATGGAGACATCTCTGAAACAATTGCTAAGCACCCAGCCTTATTTAAAATTATCACACCTATCAATGTTGACCGATTTGAGAGTTTGTTAGCGGACCACCCAAACCGTGCGCTTGTCGATTCCATGTGTTATGGATTATGACATGGATTGTGGCCTTTTGCAGACACGGATGACCCCAAGTTGCAACTGGGGGGTGTAGTCACACGCCTCTCTGGTTTACCCAACCTAGATGATGAATCGATCGAGTTTCTCAGGCAGCAACGAGATGCTGAGATGACTCTGGGTCAATACTCTGAATCTTTTGGTGCATCCTTGCTTCCGGGAATGACGGCACAGCCGGTGTTCACAGTCCCAAAGAGGGGGTCTGCCAAGCTTCGACTTGTAAACGATCACAGTGCAGGGACCAAATCTCTCAACTCCCTCATCCCAGCCAAAGGTGGCTTTGTCAAACTTGACAACCTCTCAGACCTTGCAACCAACATGCGTGCACAAATGAAGGCTAATGGTGGTATTAAGCCATTCTACGTCTGGAAATCTGATGCTTCTCAGGCATATCGGCGTCTTCCCATGCACCCACACTGGCAAGCCTGCCAGGCCACCTTGATCGATGGCCAGTATCATGTTGATAGGTGCGCGGTTTTCAGCAACCGTGCATCAGGCCATCTGTGGTGTTTGTTTTTTGGGTTGGTTTGCTGGATTGGCATTCACGTCAAGGGAATTCCTGACCTATTGCATTATGTTGGTGACGCTTTTTCAGCCAGTTTTTCCCCAGCCATTAGCTTTTACACACCATACAACCAAAGCATTCCTATCGCACAGGCCGAGTTTTGCAACTGCTGGATTGGATTGGGGTTCCTCACCAAGATTCTAAGCAACAACATGGCAGAACCATTGAAATAATTGGTTTTGAGGTTGATCTACCATCAATGACAATCTGAATGTCCAAGGAGGCCAAAGCCAAACTAGTTCTGGCAATTCGGGACTTTGTCAACAACCCACCTCAGCCACGACAACAAATGCTGCGTGCTTGGCTCCGGATCCTCGGTTATGCAAACTGGTCACTCAATGTGTTCCCGCTTCTAAAACCGGCTCTCAATTCATCGTACAACAAATTGGCTGGGAGAAGATTCATGAATGCTTTGATCTTCATTAATAAGAAAGTCAGGGATGATCTGCTCTGGTTTGCACAACAGGTCGAGTTGCTGGAGGGTGTCCGAATGATGGAGATTGAGGAGTGGCATGCTGAAAATGCAGACTTCCAAATTTGGGCGGATGCTTCATCTACCGGTTTGGCTTTCTTTTCCCCAAGCCACAAGATAGCTTACATTGCAGATCCGGTGGTCGACCGAGAATGCAATTTCAATGTTTTCTTCAATGAAGCGGTGATGGTACTGGCTGTGCTGGTATGGGCGGCTTCCAACACACCACCACCAAAGTGCCTGGCTATTCACACCAATTCCACTACTTCCTTCTCGATTTTCAACTCTCTCCGTGCACTCGATATTTACAGTCCTATTGTTATGGCATCTGTGAAAATCTGCTTAGAGTCCAAAATCGACTTGCATGTTTTCCATATCGAGGGGAAGAAAAATGTTATTGCTGATGCCCTCTCAAGGCGGGCTTTTGGCATTGCGCGCTCATATATGCCAGATCTCTCAATCAGAGAATTCACACCTCTGCTGGATATGTCAGGGGCGGCTAAGGTATGAAGCATCAACAAGGCCCATCGACCAAACAGCCCACCCATGAAAAATGGTCGATGGAACACCTGATGGGTGAACGGGCTCGTGCCTTGGGTGCCTCCCTGGAGCGGAGCACCCACAAAACTTACACATCTGCCTTTATGTCCTACACTACTTTTTGCGATACTCACGACTTCCTGCTAAAGCCATCCGAAAACACTCTCAGTTTCTACATTGTTTACATGTGCCATTACATCCAACCTTCCTCCATCAAGAGCTACCTGTCAGGGATCTGTGTGGAATTGGAAGGCGCCTGGCCAGAGATTCATACAATCAGGAACTCGCCTTTTGTTTCACGTTGCCTTAGTGGCTGTATGAAGCTGCACAACACCCCCAGCATTCGGAAGAGGGCTCTAACGGAGGAAGACCTCATTCTCATCCAAAATAGCTTGCCACAACCTCCTTCCCACGACGACAAATTATTCATTGCAATGACCTTCACTGGCTGGCATTGTTTAATGAGATTGGGGGAACTCATGGACCCGGACTCCACCGCTTTATGCAATTTCCGAAAGACCATTTGTCGTCGCTCAGTGCACTTTCATAAAGTTCCTTGACCTCACATTTCATTCATCTTGCCTATGCACAAAGCGGTGTAGGAATATAAAAGTTACAACACTAAAACAACCAGAAACCATCACAGAAAATTGGATAAAAATCATACAACCTCCACGGACCAGAAATAAAAATAGGAATAAAATCATAACTCAACAAAATGAATTGAAATAAAATATCGGAAAAATACTGAAGAACAGAGTCGATGGAGCGAGTATCTACGCGAACTTTCAAGTCTAGGAATTAAAATATGGTCCAGAAAATGAAGAAAAACAGCAAATAAACTCACATGAAAACAAAAACAAGGTTTCCTGTATCAAATAAAATATTAGAAATTCGTGGTAACGTGGGAAAATAGTTTTACGAACGTACGAAACGAATGACAAAGAGAAATCGGAAGGAAATCAAGGCATTCATATAATGAAAAATGGTCGGGTACGAGGAAAAGATGAAAGAATTGGAAATATTTATATGAGGAAAATAGGGAAAAATATGAATCTTTGTCGGTCTTAAAGAGTTGAAGTATAGGTCTGTGTACAAAAAGATTTCATGTTAAAATCTGAAGAATTGAGGGAGAAATGGATTTAACAAGATTAAAAAACACTTGCAGAGAAGACTGGCCCAAACATCCTGAGTTTGTGGTAAAAACGGATGAGCTAGAAATGCGAAACTAAAGAGTTTGAGTCCAGGAACAAGGCATAATTTATCCAGAATTAATCGTAGGAAAATGGATGAGCTAATGCCAAAGCAATCTGGAGAACCTCAAAATTAAATCTTGAAAAATTCATATCTTCATAAATAATCCTTGTAGTTTACTGTTGTTTATACCGACGGAAAGCTACACTCTTAAGCTAACAAATAACCCCATGACATGTGACCTAGAATAAAGTGAGTAAACAAGGGTAAACAAGGTCATGATGGGTGTTAGGCAATGCAATTGGCTAATTCCCACACCAAAACTTCCAGAAAGTTCTAGAAGCAGAATGGGATGCTGATCGCTTACATAAGAGGATTGCTAAGCTCAATATAAGATTACTCAGCAATGTAAATAGTAAAGTGACATGTGAAAACAGAGCCCTTAGGAAAGGTATAAAAGACCGCATTTTCTGGTCTGACCCCTCTTCCTTCTTTACTCCTCTCCCCTACGTGCTCTGGCTCATAGGTCATAAGGCGTCCTAATAAAAATTAAGTTTTATTAGTATAAGTGTGCAGTTCAGATCACATCTGAGTAAAAGTGATCAACCCTCAGTAAAAAGTTAAGAAGAAGTTAAGAAATAGTGACGTTGAGTCAAGTCGGTTGGAGTCGCTCCGAGTTAAAAGTGACAAGACAGAGGTGAAACGACTGAAAATAGTAGGTCTATAGCGTGATTTTCGTGTGGAACAATCAGGTAGACAAGTGAATTGAACCCTGAGAGTTTCATACACACACAAATAATCAGTAACACATACAAATATCAATACACAAAGCAACCAAAACGCTACAGTGGTTGAGTTAAAGTACCAATACTAACATATAAGTATCAGAAGAAAGAACAGCCTTTTATAGGACTTCTGTTCTCCTCCTTCAGCGGATCGGTTGTTTGAGGGATCCACAATCGTTCTAGAGGGGCGCAAGAACCGACTGGACCCATTGTCAGCTTTCGCTCAGTACCTAATATCGCACGACCATAGTTTCCCCCACCTGCCTGAACTCTGGCTAACTGAGAAGGGCACAGTCCCAACACGCTTGTGGTTCTTGAATCATCTGCATGCTGTATTGCCAAACGAAAATGTCAGCGGTCACTCTCTACACTCTGGGGGTGCCACCGCGCTTGTGCTTGCTGGAACGCCACTGCCTCGTATCCAATTGATCGGGTGCTGGTCTTCTGAAGCCTTCCTCATTTACAACATCCACCCCCTCCATCCACCAGAATAGACCTGGGAAGATACGGGTCATGCGTGGCTTGCTGCGCTTTGCCTAATATACTATGGGCCACTTGGCCGTCTCCCACTACAACCAGTAACACCTGATTAGTTATTGTTTAATGTTTTCATTTCACAGGACTAATCATGGGGCTACGATCAGACCCAACCCAGCTCATGCTGAGGTTTCCTCCACTTGATCATATCCTGCCGCTCCTGTCCTAGCACTGCCCACTCCCCTTTGCTGCTCCTACCAATCACGAGTTGCCATGCAACCTGACTTCTCAATGAGTCTAGGTTTTTGCCTCAGCTGTACGCTGGGTGTTCTGGTGCAGATGCGCAGAACAGACCACACCAGCAGAGGTACATACTGAAACTCCCTCACTGCGAGAGTGCTCACAGTTAGTCCAGCCCACACTTATAAAGAGCACCTGCACCTTTACTTTTCCCCCTCTCTATCACCTGGATTCGTGCTGCTCTCGGTGAGTAGGGCTGCTTACTGCTTTGTATCCAAACTCTTACTCATGCATTATTGCTGCTGCCTCTGCTGCTGCCACTCTCTTGACTCCCGGAATCGTCCATGCCTGCTCAGTAACTTGGCTTGCTTGTTTTTGCACTTCCCACCACCTCCCCTCTCTCCACCTTCTCATCTTTCCATTTCCACTCCCAATTGAATTCACAAACTGTCCGATTCACCAACTCTTTTCTCTGTCAATTCTCTTGACTTGCGCCATACTGTCTGTTTTCATTCGTCTTTTTTTTGTCTGCATCTATGTTCCGCTTTTCCTTTTTTCTTTCTGTATTTTGTTATGCTTGTTATGCCTGCTACTCTGTATATGGACAAACGGGTCAACAGGTCACGTGTGGCTTGCTGCGCTTTGCCTAATATACTATGGGCCACTTGGCTGTCTCCCACTACAACCAGTAACACCTGATTAGACAGTAGCAAAATAACTGTTTTGTGTTTACACTTTGAAATCTGGAGTGTTAACCAGCTCTCCTGTTGAAATATCTACTTAATATTTCTCTCCTTAATTGCTGCCTTTTACTACAGTGGCAATCTTAACTGTATATCACTTTTTTGTGCTGGAGTGACAACTAGAAATGCTTGAGAAAAATAATACTCTATTTTCTTACTTCTCTGAGGGGGGCAAAAAGTCACAGAAAGGGGCTCCCTTTTATACTCCTTGGGTCGCCTTCCTTTTTCATGCTCTACCTTGTATTTACAGGATTTATTTACAGTGTATTTTTCTCAAACTGAATAAAAAATGAAAATTTCACGCTATAGTTCTACTGCGCTTTGCTGCACTGAACTGCGGCTCTACTGCAGTCAGACTGCGCCTAGAATCCTTATTGTCCTTCCTCACCTAAACTGTTTTAATAGTTAATTAGAACTTGACTGCGCTGCATTTGTTGCAGTTTCCTATTTCAAATTCCTCATATTTACCATTAAATTCGCTATGACTCGGTGATTCTGAATTCAAACTTCGCATTACTATGCATATGGCTGCACTGAGACCTTCAGCTGATTTATTCCATTTTTATCCAGCGACATTTAGTTAAAATGAGACTTGAAATGGTAAATGAGTGAATTATTCAGGTTTAGAACCGAAAGAAAAAGTTGCTAGTAGTCAAGAATTACTCAAACGAATGTATTATAGCTCTCCACTTCATTAGAATATCATTCCCTAAAATTCCTGCCATGGTCCATCATAGTTTAGTGGTTTTCGTGGATTTCGTTCATCTTCCCTGATTCCCCTTTGTATTATCATATCCTAATCCTCCATATGTATTGTTCGTTGTTATAGTAGGTCGTCCTCAAAGATATCATATTTTTATGTATTTTATTTAGGGCTCTGGACCTCTTGAAGCTGTCTTCCTGTGCATTTTCAGGTTTCTAACTTCATGTCCTTGTATCTCATTCATTTCTGGATGGTTTTTCACGTTCTTGGTATCATAAATTTTCATTTATTCCCACCTTTCCAGTGGTACTAAAGTTGTGTTCTATTTCCTGGTATTCGTCGAGTTAGCAAAAGTTTGCGCGCACATTTGGTAATCACGTGCGTCGTTCCCATAGTCGTTCATATGTGGGCACTGTTTCTGTTTAATTGTTCGGGATTTATGGTATGTGCAGGTGTTTATATCCTTCATATGTGTCATATCTGTGCATACCCGATCCCGCCCTGACTTCTGGACCTCCTCCTTCCCCACCTCCAGAATCCTACCCTACCACTGTCCGTTCCAATATTCACCTTCGGTCCTGGCACCACACCACCCTTCACCTCCCATGCCACCTCCACTCCTCCGTCACTCTCCTGTCCTATCTCCGTCCGTTCCGATAACCACCTCGGACCGAACACCACCGCTCTCGCCACCCTCCTCCTACTCTTCTCCCGTCCGCTCCGATACCCACCTTCGGACCTGACCCCTCTCCTCTCTTCCTTCCCCTCTCTTCCCTCTGGTCCTCTTCCGCCGACCTCCCACCAAGTTACGACCTCCCGCCGCTGACCCATACTTTGTACTCAGGCACCGCTCATACCTTTGCTCCAAGCCTCCATCATAGTTCCTACCTCGGACTTTGACTCCACCTCGGTCTTAGTCCATTGCATTGGTGATCTCATACTACATAAACACCATTGCCAATATTCCTTGGACTTTCAACCCCGCCTCCGTAAGCTCCGCAACCTCCAAGCTTCGCGGATCATCTTCGGCACTTTCGCCGCTTGTAATGTATTTCTCGTGTTTCCCCCTCATCCCTATCTGGACTGCTGCTTCTTCCCATTTTAGCCAGTTAGTCATCATCCCCACTTCCCCTCATCCTCCTGCCCCTCTGGGCCTCGCCCTCCTTACCTCCTTTCGGATGTATCACAGGTTCTGCCTTATGACCTTTGGTACCGCTCCGCTTCTGACATCCCTTTGTTCCCATTCGGACGCCTTCGTTCCGATTCGGTTCCCCTTCGTTTCCTTGTGCTTTTGCCCCCTCCATTATATATATCGGCGCTTGTACATACTCGTAGCGGGCTCAGTCCGAAATCGACCTGAAATGCCCCCTAGAGACTTCCTGCTCGCCTACTGTGAAATTAAGGACCAAATGGACAAACAGCAATGGCACAGTGCTCCGCTTGAGTTGCTGAGGCCAAGGTCCCTCCACGCAAAGTCTCTGATTCCACTCCAGAGTTGTCTGAATCCACCCATTCTAACAATATGGGCTTCTGTGATTTATTTCAGATTTTTCCCTCATGATCTAAGGTTGTTTTGCACTTTCCGTGCTTTGTTTTGACTGGGCTCTTCCCTATTTGGACGGAAATTGGTCTTCATGATCTGCCGAAGTGCGGATCTCAGTTCCGATGGCCGGTTCCCTTCGCATTGCCACCCTCACATGTCATTAAACATGATGCGGATTTCTATATTCCCGTCATTGGTATAACTTCACAACGGCTTGACCGTTTGGGCTGAAAATTTGCATAACTATAGTTCCCTATTTTTCATAATTTCCCTGTAAATTTCGTTGTATATTTTAATTATGGATCCTTCGTAAACATCGTCTTTTCCCTGAGTCCGGACTTTGATGTCGCTGTTCCCATTATTGGATATCTCGTTAATGCGTGATCCTTTTATTATGAAAATTTGGGTGGATTAAGATTAGATCCCTTCCTTTCTAATGGGCTATCAAGCTCGTCTCGGTCGTTACTGGTTGTTCTTTGCGCTTGCTTTTTAAACATTGTCCTTGTTTTCCAGGGGTTTCAGTCATATCTCCGTCATTTATGGGTAGTTTTCCCTGTAATTACTTTCATTGGGTCCGTTTGGGGGACATCTACATTTCCTATTATAAACACGACTTTGAATTTTGCATTAGTTCCTGAGGAATCCTTGTTCCGTGGTACTTCCATCCTTGGCTATGTGTGTGGACGTGGGAAAGTAGTTTCCGTGGAGGTTCTCTGGCTGTTTTTATAGTCAAATATTGGTCGATTATCCTAATTCTTGGTTTAATATTTGTTATAAATTCCCCCGAGAATTCCATCTCATTGATGCTAAGCTTGAAGTATTTTTGCTAATTTTCTTTCTTCCATTTTATTGTATGTAGTCATAATAATTCGTAAAATCTTGTCAAAATTCGTTAAAATTCAGGTCCTTCTATTTTCTCATATCTACTTATCGTATGGGGTTTTGTGAGTTATCTGGCATATTTCCATAATGGGTTTCCATAGTGTGACCATTATTTCTCCTACATCGCATCGAGAGAGCACGAGGAGAATTTCATTTAATTTCTCGTTTAGTCTTTCTTCCACCTTAATGATGTTGTGATCTAAATGGGCAATGTTGTCACTATTCCCAGAGATCTGGGTATTCATGTTATGGACATCGCCCCTCAAGTTGGCGATGTCATTGTCGATTTGGTCGACATGATTTCTTAATACTTGCGCCATCTTAGACACGAGAGAGTGGGTTGGAGATGGAGGATGCAACACGTGCCTTGGGATGTTGTAGGCGGGCACAGCTGGTACTGCACAAACAAACCAAATATCGCGATTTCCCCATCCCTGCACATCCCCACTTCATGAAACACATCATACATGTCCTCATATACTATTCCTACCCTTCCATGACTCCTCCCTATTTTTCCAGACACATTCCCAGTCCCCACAGACCAAATTCCCACGCCCACCCAGCAGCGCGGCCACACTCACACTGGATTTCACTTATCTCAGCAACCACTGCACCGATTTGGATGATATTGGTACCGTTGGAAACGCGTCATTTAGGAGTACTAGGATCCGTGATTAGCGGGAGTTCATTGGTGATGGATGGAGTTGGATATTTTTTGGCTGGAAATCATTTATTGCTTTACTGTTGTCTTGATTATTGTTTTCCCTTCCTTTTTCCGATATTGTTTGTTGCCGATATGACCCACCTAGGCACATGGGACTCATCGGATATTTTCCTTCATTTTTATTTGATCATTTCTCATATATACTGTACATGAGGATGTATCTACCTTTCCCCTTGGATTAG